ACACGTGAGTTTTGCGAAGATAAATGGAAAGAAGCTATTTTATTGCTTGTTTATCGCTTGGGTTATCGAAGGATGCGACTGAAAACTCCAAATTCCATTAATGTATTAATGTTAAATTGATCTGCCTCGTTTTCAAACAGCTTTATCATCTTCCTAAGGGCAAGTTAACTTGCAATTTAGCGTTCTCGTTAGATACCTACCTACTTTGACTTATAAGCATTGAAAGCAAAATTTGACATTCACCCAGAGACCAGTTTTACCATAAGAAAAATAGCCACCTGCCTAAATTGTTTGCCATATGAATGCTTTACATATGGAGTGAACTGTGAAGCCCTATTCGCTTACGTGCCCATTATGTGTGCAGTCCACATGTGAAGCGATCTTGATCTTTAGGCAAACCATTCCGGCAGGAGGCTATTTTCCTGTTGATAAAACTGGCCTCAGATCAAATAGGTATTTAGTGTATATAATAGTGTATACATACTACATCATTCTCAACTGTCATGATGTCTTTACATTGTCATTGCATGCTTGCTTATGTTCAACATTTGTGACATGTTTACTTGGCTTCTTCAGGCAATCTCAATAAGCTGCAATGGATCGTGCTCTGGCAGTTCTTAGCCAGATAGAAGAGGATGCCAAGAAGGTCAAGCCGACTGATGTGGAGAAGGAGGTGGACTTAGAATATGATATTGGACTGTTGCTGGCATCAGACCCTAACCCTCTGGACCATGATGCTTTGCAGTAAGTTTCTTGGATGCTCTGGCCTCTGTATCAATTAATTTTAGTTGTGTCGTAGTATTGGAGGCTGCTTATCATTTTCTGTCCTTATCTTCTTAGTTAGTACTTTGTTTTTGTGGCATTTGTGGAACAGTTTCTGGACTTCTCTTGACACATTATTTTCTTCCTGCATTACTTATGCTGTGTTCTGCCTGGCAGTGCCGACCGGGATGGCTACCTGCAGCAGCTCGCCAGAGACAACTGTCAACTGTTGTTCAACCGCCTCTACCAGCTGCCGACTCAGACCAAAGATGACGTCACCACAGTCAATCTGCCGGCTGCACAGCTGAGGTGTGTTGGTGCCTGGTGGTGCCTGGTGGTAATTTTTAAAGAAATGCAGATTTAATGTTTTGAGCAGGTGGATTGTTGCTACCTAGCTCACTTGGTAGGACATTGGACTCTTGTTGGTTTTGGCCAAAAGCTCAGCCCTCCAGGTTCGATGCATGACTCTTTGACAGCTAGTCTGCAGTTGGCGGGAGCAATGGTCACCGGTATAAGTTAGAAGGCATCTACTCACCTGTGAGGGACAGACAGTGTCACGGTTTGGCTGTGATAAACGCTGGTCATGAGCTGCTAAATCGACTGTAAAAATCAGAGCCTGCTTGTGCTCATTTTGTTTCGTGTCCTATGTCTATCGGTGTACAAACGGCAATGCACAATGTTTTTTTCATTTGATCATTTGCCGCGGACAGAATGCCTCGAGAGAAGCCGGCGCCCAAGCCAAAGCCGCTCACCAAGTGGGAGGAGTACGCCAAAGCCAAGGGTATCTCCAGAAACAAGAAGGGAAAGAAGATCTGGGATACTGAGCTCAAGGTAAATGTACCGTCAAATGACCGGTCAACTGAAACGCAACGTGAGTGCTAATGGAAGACAATGAATGGCGAGTGCTCGCTTGTACTCGCATATCCGATATCGCAATGCGTAACCTGCATCGTAGAATTTTTATATTTGTGTGCATGTCATCGATGTCAAATGGTTTCATATCAACAGGTATTTATCTTCAGAAGTATTGTCTGTGAATTTTTATGAAACTTCGGGTGACTCTGCTCACTCTTTTCAACCAATGTCCCTTATAGATAAATTTGACTCCGATTATATCGCACAGATTCGTTACCGAAGCTTTGACCATTCGACCCCACAGCTAACACCCCCCTCCCCCCGTCCCGACTTTCAGCGCTGGGTGCCCCGGTACGGAGCCAAGAAGGCGCAGGCCGACCGCGAGAAGAACTGGGTGATGGAGGTGCCCGCCAACGTGGACCCCAACACGGACATGTTCGCCAAGGTGCGTACTAGTTATCACAATAGTCGGCGATAGCCGGGTGCTGCTAGATAGTTGGCGTGCTAGCCACACGATTCTTATGTTGAAGCCAACGATGTGGTCACGCACATCGCTGAAAATGTGTTGTTGGGCTCGTTTTCGAGGTAAATAATTGAAGAGGCGCTGAACACACCGCGAGGAATGTGTTGATTGGTGTTCGCTATCCCCTTTACACTGGGTTTCAACGGCGATTTTATATCCTTTTTGCGCCACAGGCTGCGGAGAAGAAGCGTGAGCGTGTTGCCAAGAACGAGCTGCAGCGACTGAGGAACGTCAAGCGGAACATGAAGGTGCCCACAGTGGGCGTCACGCCCAAGGATGTGACCAAGAGCTCCACTTCAGAGGTGAGCGGACCGGCGCTCCGTAGATGGGGATATTGGTGATCGGGAGAGGGTTGGGTATTTGAGAGCCAGTTAGGCACATATGGGCAAATTACTCTCACGTTTATAATAATTGCCATCAATATTATGTCAATGTGTGATGATCATATTTGTTCGGTGAGTCTTGACGCCGTTCCAGTTGATGACTTTACGATCATAAGCGACGTGTAATTAGCATGCTGATTTTTTCGTGCGGGATAAAGTCAATATAATTTGCTAACATTTACTATGACTAAATCGTGGCATAAATGTCGACACCTACAGTTCCATTACCATAGCGGCTACACTGTAACCCGACCCAACAAAAACTTTTTACCTTCTCCTAGTCTTTGCCTCTCACTAACCCCTCTCCCCCTCTCCCCCTCCCACAGTTGACAGAGGCGGCTGCACTGGCCCGGCGCAGTACCGCCTCCCTGGGCAAGTTCAACCAGCGTCTGCCCCGGGACGCGCCGACCAAGGAGCGCGGAAAGCGGCGTCAGTTCGCTCCCGCAGTGGGCGACACTCGCGGGGAGGTGCGGGGGCAGTTGGAGCTGCTGCAGAACCTCGGACGGAAGGAGAAGGGAGCTGTGGTGGACACGGAGAAGGCGGCCAACCGGCTGATACACCAGGAACAGCGCGAGTGAGTGATGAGAGGGGATGGACGGGATGGGGATAGGGATGGAAGGTTAGGGGTGCACAGATGAGTTAGTGACGGAGAGGGAGGTAGTGCCGGGATGGAAGGATGTGCGTGGAAGGGGAGTGCTGAAATGGATATGGTGCTGAAATAGATACATCGGTGCAAAACGGATAAATAAGGAGGATAGCTGATTCCTTTTTGTGACTTTGTGTTATTAGTCAAATTTAGCGGGCTGCGTTTTGATTCCTGTAGTTCCTTCAGAAAAGGATAACATCCAAACATTGTGCCTCAGATCATGCTGCTAGTCTGTCTAACTCTCAATCGTCATTTTTCTACAGGCGTGCTGCCAGCAAGGAGGACAAGCCCAAGAAGGGCGGCAAGAAGCGCTGGATCCCCAACACCAAGAAGGGCGAGAAACAAAAGAAGGCGATCGCCAAGAAGGCCGGCAAGGGACGGAAGGGCGCCAAGGGTCGGTAGGTGTCGTTGCTGTCGCCTGGCTCGGGTACCGGGCGCTGCAGTGAGCCGTGAGGAACGGAAGTGGCTGGCTGGGCGCTACCGTTCGGCGGACCGGAGGGAGGCTCGCTTAGAGCTCTCTCCCCGCGTCGTGCGCTGGAGGGACGGGCTGGCAGGAGTTTCTGCTGTGAAGCCGTCAGCAGGCTGCCTTGTTGCTGTTGTGGGACCGGATGGGACTCGATGGGAGCTCCTGTTGTGAAGTTGTACCACTAGCGCCCCTGAAACCGTGAGTTTCCTGAGTGAGCTATGCGTCGGTTAACGCACGAGACCGTGGTGGACCAATTGTTGGGATTGGGCATGGACCGAGTGACTGATCAGCAAACTCGTATGAAGGTAAAGCGTTGCTCATCCAAAAGACTCGATATTCGTTTGGTTAGCTAGTTAGCTGCCGTGGAAAAGGTTGAAGTTTGCTGGATGTCGATATGCAACTTTTTCGCGTTGCCTTGGCATCGCAAAAGATCCATGCATAGATGTAAAACATTTTTGCTACCTGTCGAGTGTACGAATTTCTTTTCATAAAACAAGAATGAAATGATTATTAAGGCGAGCTGGCAATGTGCCTTGTTATGTTTCTTTGAGGGGGACGGCACTAGACAGCGGAGGTCTGGGGAGGAAGGGGACGGCACTGAACGTCATACAGAGGTCTGGGGAGGGAGGGAAAGGGACGGCACTGAACGGCAGAGCAGAGGTCTGGAGCGGAGCGGATGGCACTATTCGGTAGATGGATGTCTGGAGAAAAAGGGTAGGGGCGGTGCTCATCGGTATACAGGGATGGAGACGGCACGACACGCGACAATTTGGGAGAAGTCCTGAGAAGAGTGTAGGGGGGCGGTTTTATGTTTTATGACAATCAAATCTTTTCTATCTCTCACATATTTTTTCAATTGAATTCAAATGTTAAAATCCCCTGTCACATCGTTAGGTCGTTCGTAGTTTTTTTTCTGGTCCCCTCTCCAGCTTCTACGTTAGCCATTTGGAGAGGAGTTGAAGGGGACTTATTTCAGCTATTGTTCACACACGTGCATTTGAAACATATTGACAGGATACATAAGTGTTACAATGTGTTTAAAAGTTACACGCCCATCTTAGTAATAATTGAACTGCTGGTGTTACTCAGGTGATGTCGATTTTTCATGTTCTTTGACTTGTCCTCGATGTTAATTTAGTATCGACCACTGCAAAACTGAAAGCTAAAATTGTCCCGCAAATTTCTTGGTTCCTGTGCTATTCCTCTCCAGAGACATAGAAAACCCTGCTCTTTTTATAGTGTTACAAAGCCGACAGAGATCACGAATTCACATACAGTTTCAACGAGGAACTTACGATTTGTACAGTCATTGCGGTCTAAGCAGGTCTCTTTTGTGCCATGGCGTTTACCTTTAGGACCACGACAATCAATGACAAGTACATTGGTTACATTTCAAAACAGTCAGGGCGGACACGTGACATTCAATCAGAACCATTCAGTTGTTCTCTTCATGACTAGGTATGTTGCATGCATAACCACCAGCCTATTTACCCTTGTACTTTTTTCAGTCAGCGACGCTCGGACAAAGTACGGGTACCGCTGTCTTAGAAGTCAATTCTGAACATCATTTGCAGTCAACCATGTTGCCACATCAACATCAATATCCAATATATGGCTGAAGCACATATAAATTCTACGCTAACTGTTGCATAAGTATTACGGTAATATCTTGATCTTGATTTCTGGCAAAATGCGACGAATACCTAGCCTCAGCCGATGTTTCTGCCACCAGGAACACGCACCAAACGATCGATTGACCTATGGTATTTGCACAGACGTTTTCACAAATGTTTGATATCATACACTCACCACACTCGCACATAAACAACATTGTTCACATAGGGGGTGTACAATGCAACCTGATCAGTAATCTCTTGTGCCTTGCATGACTTGTGTGACTAAAAACATCATCGAACTTCAAACGACCATGGATGACTTCGAACGCTTTCTCACCGAACACGACAGTTAATCTCGCATAGCTCAGATCTGGCCGGACCTGCATGGTCCCGAATGACCTCACACGACCCTACACCTTTACCCTGTGAACTAGCCTGACCTTGTACTTTCCCACACGACGTCGTATTCCTCTCATTGCCTGGAGCGAGCTCGCATGACCTAGTAAAGCCACACTTACTCGACATGACATGACCTGCAGTCTTACACAACCTTTGTGACTTTTCATAACCTCTACGGCCGGAGATACCCCTTGCGACCTCACGTGACTTTCCATGACCTCATATGACCTCTTATGACCTACAACCTCGCATGACCTCTCATTGCCACCTATAACCTCCCACGACCTCACATGACCTCACAGACGGCGCTGAACGGATGCCGTCGGACGGGTACCACCTTCAGTCGGCTGGCGGCCGGCTGGAGGCCGTGCTGGTAGGCGGGAGGCGGCGGGGGCTCAGGAACCACCGGCTCTCCCGGCTCCAGGTCGGCCACGAAATAGGTGTACATCATGCCCTTCCCCTTGACTGGGATCTGACCACGACGCTCGAACGAGAACCGCTGGTTGCTGCGGAGGCATCTGAAGTGAGGAGGGCTGGTTAGAGAACGCTGGTGGGCGCTGCAGATAACTGACAGATGAAGGCGATAGAACCTGTCTCGTGCACCAGCTCAGATACTAAACCTGAGTATTGTGCCTTGTCACTAACGAACGTATATTGACGAAGCATCAGGCACTGACGTCATGCTATATGCCTACTCGCTAAGATCACATACCATTCACTGACGTGACATCATTCACTCACGGATGCCACAAATCATTCACAAGCGTCAATGATATTATTCACTGACATCATCGCACCACGTATAGCTCACTGACACCATACAGACTTCACCGACGTCACTTTCACACCTCACTCACGTATAGGTGGAGTGACTGATGTGAATATGACCGGCCAGCCCGTGAGACTCCATTCTGGAGGCAGTGTTGACTGTGTCTCCAAACAGGCAGTAGCGGGGCATCTTCACTCCGACTATACCGGCCACCACGGGACCAGTACCTATGCATTCCCACACGGATCTGGCAGCACGGGGGATGACGTCAGAGGGCGGCCATATGGTACACAGGACCCGACCGCGTATATTGAAATACCGAGTATGAAACGGGCATGGTCCTGAAAAACATCTGACCTAACCTTACCTAACCTAGTCTAACCCACCTGAATCCAATCTTTGACCAATCTCACTGGACCATGCTCTTTTCATAGTGAATTGCAATATACGCTACCCGTACTGCCTAATGTCCACACACAACTCGCTTAGGCAAGTGATGAAATCAGTCGAAATCCTCAAACATTTCTTGAAACATAAAAATACCCGCAAAAAAATGTTATAACTTGGCGTCTATAAGCCCTAACATCTCTTGATAATTGGGTTCATCAAAAATTATTTAGAAAATCGCAAAACAAAAAGTATCAACCAGCTAACGGCTCCTGACCAGTTCGATGTCCAGATTGGGCTCCGCTCGCATCGTCCCCGGCCCTCGTATGGCCTGTTCATAACCTGTTGAGTGTTGAATTTGCTTCTGGGATGAGTCAACTGATGACCTCTACTCCCTCCCTCTCTCCCTGTCTTTTTATCTCTCCCTCTCTCTCCTCTCTGTCTCTCTCTCTCTCTCTCTCTCTCTCTCTCTCTCTCTCTCTCTCTCTCTCTTTCTCTGTCTCTGCCCCCCCTCTCTCTCTCTCTCTCTCTCTCCACCCTCTCATACCTGAACGGGTCGCTGTGTGTTGGGCACCAGCACATGGCCCGATCCCTGTATCATCTGGTGCGCCTGTCGGGCCACCAGCTCGGCATGGTCGGGGTCCATCTCGGGACACCCGCCCACCACCATGTAGGCGTCTCCAATAGTCTCCACCTAAACAGCGCGTGCAAAAATGAGCAAAGACTTCAGGAATTTTAGGCTTGAACATAACGCAACCGACATGGCATGGACATGTAAAAGTTAGGTATGCGTTACAGCGCTATTGTAGATAGGAGTCTAGCTCAACCTGAGAGGATATACGAGCATCAATCGTCCATGAGTAACGACACTAGATATTGGTAACAGGTGAAATACCGAGCTATTACAATACAGCGACGGGAACCCCAATGCCTCCGTTAAACCTAGAACGTTGTCCATCGCCATTCACGGTACAGCGTAGCATGCTATCTGTTAAAAACAGATCATTAATGAACACAGTAGCGCAGTAACACAGTAACTGCGCGGTCTCACGAACCTTATAGACACGATTTCTCTCCGTGAGATGATCGAAGAATGTGTAGAGCTGGTTGAGCAGTTGGACCACCTGTACTGGGGTGCTACTGGCAGCGATCTGGGTGAATGTCACCACATCGCTGAACAAAACTGCCGGCGACAGAGGGGGAGAGAGAGAGAGAGAGAGAGAGAGAGAGAGAGAGAGAGAGAGAGAGAGAGAGAGAGAGAGAGAGAGAGAGAGAGAGAGAGAGAGAGAGAGAGAGAGAGAAGAAGGAGAAGAAGAAGAAGAAGAAGAAGAAGAAGAAGAAGAAGAAGAAGAAGGGAGGGAGGGAGATGGTCAATCAACTGAGCGCAATAGCTCGGAAATCACGTCGCTGACAAAAACTTCTGATGTCAGACAAGACAGGTCATTGAACAGAAACCAGAGCGTCATTGACGTCATTTAGCGAAGCTACTGACGGCAAAGACGATAGAGAACACTACAAAACAGGTTGACAACACATCACGGAGAGGCACGTTTCTGAACACACCTGTTCACAACAGATGGGAGAGGACACCGGATTGCCCAGGATCGCGAGGACGAGCCGTTTCAAAAGAACAAAATAGAAAAGAAGAACCCGTGCTCGGATGACGTTCTTGATGGGTGAAGTCGGATAAAAATAACGTCATCAATAAAAGAGTGTAAAAATCAAACAAGAACACAGTCGAACTCGAAAAGCAAAACACTCCACGTTTTTTTTTCACTTTAACAAACTGCAGTAATGGTGTAATACCCAATGAGTGTGTAGTGTGTAGTGTGTAGTGTGTACGCCTACGCACTCATGGTGTAGAAACAATCGCATCGAGTGCTATTACGCCCTACCGCGTCGAAGTCGACGCCAAAGAAAACGGCGAAAGTCAATGTGTTCGAAAGTAAATGGCCTTGTCGCTGGTGAAGTCACCGACTCACTGCTGGTGGCGAATGATATGGTGAACAACCACGGTCCCTGAAGACAGGGCTACATCACTTCCATGGAATTAGGGACGACGCCGTCGTGAGTCTAGTGGATGAGCTTATACCGGCTCTGAAGCGGAGTTCAGGGGCGCCCAAGATACTACTCGGGGCGCCGCCCGGGAGGATGAGAACACCTTTGTGTACGAATGTTCAATACACGACATTGTTGTTAAGAGAGGTAAACATTTGTGATGACTGAAGATGACAGAGAATGTTAAAAAGTCATTTTGACATTCTCATTGCAAACACACTCCAGATGCTACTCAGATGCGTATAAACCACACAGCTCAAAATACAACGATATGTACTTAACGATATGATAACACAATGTCGTTATCACTGGACAACTCCGTCCGTCAGATGATGTTAGACTTCTGCCGGGTCAGTAAATCGGGTGATATCATATCACTCCAACCCACGGTAGGACCAAGTGTAACAATGTGCTGCAGGAGCGTATGTGACAGTGTGTTGGAATGGTCATGTCCCCCGACTGAGATGTTTGTCACAACCGAAATGGAGAAGTGAGGACGTTAGTAGAAAAGTACGGATCGCCGGCCCATCTAACGATCGCCGACTCACTGCTGATGGCCTCAGATCACGGTCCCTGAAAACAGGACTACATCACTTCCATCGAGGTCGGTGACGCCGTCGTCAGTCTGGTGGACAGACCACTGCTATCGTCACTGAGGAGACTAGGGCCACATCGCCGTTGTCTAGGTGGGGGACTGGGACGCCGTTTGGTAAACGAACCGCTGCTATCGGCGCTGATGGAGGTCAGGGGCGCCACCCGGGAGGGCGGGCACACCTTACTACCATGTCCAACAGATGACTTTGTTTGTAAGGTAAATAAATATTTGAGAAGACTTAAGATGAGAGTGAATGCTGATGAAGTCATTCCAATGTCACTTTGACATCCTTAGTGCAAACCGAAGCCAGATACGACTCAGACCTGCATAAGCCACGACACTCAAAACGATGTTTTATGATGACACGATGTCGCTAACACTGGCCAACTCCGTCCGTCGGCTGATGATGGACTTCTGCCGGGTCAGTAAATCTGGTAAGATGACCTCAATCCACGGTAAGACATGAACCACCTGGGGCCGAGGTAAATCGCTGTAGTGCCGTAAGCACACTGTGTGGAAACATCGTATGTGACAACTGACAGAGTGTTGGGAAAGTCTTGTTCTGTTTGACATGTTTGTCACAAACAAAATGGAGAAGTGAGGACGCTATAGTGCAGAGGTACGGATCGGCGGCCTATATATCAATCGCCGACACTCTGCTGGTGGCAGATGATATGGTGAGGAACCACGGTCCCTGAAAACAGGCCTACATCACCACCATCGAGGTCGGTGATGCCGTCGTCAGTCTGGTGGATGAACGTATATCGGCTCTGAAGGAGTTCGGGGGTAGCCGCTCGTGAAAACTGGCTACTTGTATAGCTATGTGTTCAAAGGATGACATTGTTAATAAGACAAGGAAATATTTCTGAAGACTGTAGAGAAAAGAGAAGGCTAAAAAGTCAAGGCAATCTTGCCTTGACCTGCTTATTGCATACTCACTCCAAATAAGACTAGGATGCGTATAAACCACGCAACTCAAAATAACGATCTATGATAACGCGACGCCGTTAACACTGGCCAACTCCGTCCGTCGGATGATGCTGGACTTCTGCCGGGTCAGCAGATCTGGTGAGATCACCCCAACCCACGTTAGGAGGACCCTCGAACCACCTGTGTACAAGGTGTAACAGTGTGCTGCAGGAACGTATGTGACAGTGTTTTGGAACAGACATGTCCCCTCTGAGATGTTTGTCACAAACAAAATGGAGAAGTGAGGACGCTAGCGGAGAGGTACGGATCGGCGCGCTTTCTAAATTCGCCGACACACTGCTGGTGGCGTAAGATATGGTGGACAACCACGGTCCCGGAAGACAGGCCTACATCACCTCCATGGAGGTCGGTGACGCCTTCGTCAATCTGGTGGATGGGCCGCTGCTATCGTCGTTGCGGAGACTATGGCCACATCACCGTTATAAAGGTGGGGGACGCCGTTTGGTAAACGAACCGCTGCTATCGGCGCTGATGGAGGTCAGGGGCGCCGCCCGGAAGGACAGGCTTACTACCATGTCCAACAGACGACTTTGCTTGTAAGAGAAGTAAATGTTTGTAAAGACTGAAGATGAGAGAATGCTGCAGAAAAAGTGATTTTGACATTATTATTGCAAATACGACTCACATGCGTATAAACCACTCAACCCAAAATAACAATAAATGATGACACGACATCACGAACACTGGCCAACTCCGTCCGTCAGATGATGATGGACTTCTGCCGGGTCAGTAAATCTGGTAAGATGACCTCAATCCACGGTAAGACATGAACCACCTGGGGCCGAGGTATATCGCTGTAGTGCCGTAAGCACACTGTATGGAAACATCGTATGTGACAACTGACAGTGTGTTGGAAAAGTGTTGTTCCGCTCTGACTTGTTCGTTACAAACAAAATGGACAAGTGAGAACGCTGGTAGAGAGGTGCGGATCGTCGGCCATATATATCAATCGCCGACACTCTGCTGGTAGCAGATGATATGGTGAACAACCACGGTCCCTGAAAACAGGGTCACATCACCTCCATGGAGGTCGGTGACGCCGTCGTCAGTCTGGTGGATGAACGTATATCGGCCCTGAAGGAGTTCAGGAGTGCCCAAGATACTACTCGGGGCGCCACCCGGGAGGATGAGAACACCTTGCACCCGTGTTCAATGTACGACATTGTTTGTAAGACAAGTAAATATTTCTGAAGACGGCAAATGTGATAGAATGCTAAAAAAGTCATTTTACCATTCTTATCGCAAACACACTCCAGATGAGACTAAGATGCGTATAAACCACACAACTCAAAATACTTAACGATATATGATAACATCACACGGCTAACACTGGCCAACTCTGTCCGTCGGATGATGTTAGACTTCTGCCGGGTCAGCAGATCTGGTGACATCACTTCGACCCACGTTAGGACCCTCGAACCACCTGTGGACCAGGTGTAACAATGTGCTGCAGGAGCGTATGTGACAGTGTGTTGGAATGGTCATGTCCCCCGACTGAGATGTTTGTCACAACCGAAATGGAGAAGTGAGGACGTTAGTAGAAAAGTACGGATCGCCGGCCCATCTAACGATCGCCGACTCACTGCTGATGGCCTCAGATCACGGTCCCTGAAAACAGGACTACATCACCTCCATGGAGGTCGGTGACACCGTCGTTAATCTGGTGGACAGGCCGCTGCTATCGTCACTGCGGGGACTAGGGCCACATCGCCGTTGTCTAGGTGGGGGACTGGGACGCCGTTTGGTAAACGAACCGCTGCTATCGGCGCTGATGGAGGTCAGGGGCGCCACCCGGGAGGGCGGGCACACCTTACTACCATGTCCAACAGATGACTTTGTTTGTAAGGTAAATAAATATTTGAGAAGACTAAAGATGAGAGTGAATGCTGAAGAAATCATTCGAATGTCACTTTGACAATCTTAGTGAAAACCGACGTCAGATACGACTCAGACGTGCATAAGTCACACAACTCAAAATGATGTTGTGTGATGACACGACGCCGTTAACACTGGCCAACTCCGTCCGTCGGCTGATGTTAGACTTCTGCCGGGTCAGTAAATCGGGTGAGATTACCTCGGCCACGGTTAGACCTGAACCACCTGGGGCCGAGGTAAATCGCTGTAGTGCCGTAAGCACACTGAGTGCCGTGTGGAAACATCGTATGTGACAACTGACAGTGTGTTGGAAAAGTCTTGTTCCGCTCGGACATGTTTGTCACAAACAAAATGGAAAGGTGAGGACGCTATAGTGCAGAGGTACGGATCGGCGCCCTATCTATAGTCGCCGACACACTGCTGGTGGCGTAAGATCTGGTGGACAACCACGGTCCCTAGTCTGGTGAATGAGCCACTGCTACCGTCGCTGCGGAGACTATAGTCACATCGCCGTTGGTGGGAGACTGGGACGTCGTTTGGTAAACGAACCGCTACTATCGCCGCTGATGGAGGTCAGGGACACCGCCCGGGAGGACGGGCACATTTACTACCATGTCCAACAGATGACTTTGTTTGTAAGGTAAGTAAATGTTTGAGAAGACTAA